CACAGTTTACATTACACTGTGACCACTTTTGCTGGGTCAAAGAGTAGGAACAAAAGAACGTGACTGCCTCTTTTAGCAACAACCACACTTTATGCCAGTTGAGGCTGGTTAAGACTATAGCATCTGTTCTTTACTGCTGTGTATGCCTCTGTTCGCATGCAAGTGCAGAATGCTGCCGCTCATTTAATCAGCATTTTAAACACTGACCAAATAGAAAAGAAGTGGAGAAACTCATACAGAATCTTCAGAATTTGTGGTAACTTCTATATATTTGTTGACTTCTTGTACTGAGAATGCATTTGAAATGCTGAGCTTGAAATGCAATGCTTGAACTTCACTGTGTGCCTTTCTGTCAAAAAAAGGCAAACTGATTCCTTGTGTATCTTCCTCACATTCCACCTAGTGTATTGCAGATAGTCTTTTGCAGCAGCAGCAGCAGTTTATACTGGCTTCTCTAGTAGTATTTTTTTGGTACAGATAAATGTGAACTCCAGTTATGAAATATAATTATGTACATGCAAATGGCTGCATAGTTTTCAGCATTTGAAGATAGCTTCATTATAAAGTACATAGCAGAAAGAACGCAAAGATAAAAGTGTTATGCATGTTTTCTCAGGTATGAAGGTACACACGTCAGTAATGAGCTTCAGACTACTTAGGAGTTTGCTGTCTTTTTGGCAGGCCTGAAAAAAGAGTAAACCGCATTGTACCAATGTACAAACTTGTACGCATAGGAAATCTTGCTTTATATCGGTATACAGTATGCTGTTTGACTGGATGGGTTCAGTAAGAAGAATTGGATGAAGGTGCCAATACAGTTTGGCAAGCCTGTTCTTGTAGAAGGAATACCAAAACTAAATATCTTTCCTTTATGCATTTCTCCAGTTAAACAGAAATAGAACTGAGTTTTAAATTAATTTTCAGTGCTGAATACAGACTATTTGTTTTTAGAATTTGTTCACTAGTTCTCTTTGTGTGATACCTTCTTTTTCTCAACATGCTTGATCCATTCCTAAATAAAAAAAATGCCAAAGTATTTGAGCAGCACACCATTATACCTTATTGTTACAGAAATTCCTGGAAAGTTTAAAGTATCTTCGGGTACACCCTTCTGTAATTATTCTGGCTGAAAGCTGTCTCTCAGTTTAGTTTCTTGGAAAAGACAAAGCTGTATATTTTGCTTTTACAGGGGTGGTTAAAAGAATTATTCCAGCAGTAGCTTCTACAAATGCAGTAATTGCAGGTATGCTAAAAGAACTCATTTCACTTCTGCTTTACAGACTTTAGAGTTTTGTAAGGCAACAGTTTGGCATTGAGAACTTGGGGAGGAGAATAGTAATTTTTAAATGGGTCTGGTTTATTCTTACAGTCTCATTTCTGCTTTCCATAGAGAAACTGCATGTGACTATAAATTTTAAGCTCATGTATGACTGTGGGAGTGAGCAAAAGCATTTGAGACTGGGGAAAAAAATAATTGGAAAACACGGTATAAAAGCTTAACATAGGCTCACATTAGTCCCGAATCTATGCATAGAACTGCCAGCTGCCTTCAGTTGTTTATTTTTTTCTTTTTTTTTGGTCACTTCTTTGGTACAACTCTGTGCACTAATGTCTGCATGTCCTGATATAGAGCTAGAAAGTGAAGAAATCGGTTTTTTTCTCATTCCAGCTGTTTGCGCCACTGAAGTTTTTAAAATAGCCACAAGGTATTTCATTTCTTATTAATAACATACATGATTTCCAACATAATGATGTGTATTAACACTAACATATTTGTCATTATAGTGCATACATTCCTCTTAACAACTACTTGGTGTTTAATGATGCAGATGGATTATACACATACACATTTGAAGCTGAAAGAAAGGTTAGTGCCATTAAAGGCTTGCAGGGTTGTTTCCTTGATTTCTATTGAACTTACACAGTTTGTGTGTATTTCTGAAACCCAGTATTGAATCTTTTGGCCCCTAGCACTGAATAATAATATTTCTGAAGTTTTAAAAGCAGAAACTACAATGTTCCTGGTCTGCTACTTTTCCAGAGTATTGTTTTTAGCATGTAGGAATTTTCTTTTTTTAAACTTCTGTGGTTTTGGGGTCTAATAGTGATGACACTGGTGGTCTGACCATGTAGAGTAGCAGGACTCTTGACCTCCAGATCAACAGATGTCTTATTTGATGTCCTGGTAATGAAACCTTTTCTTCTACCCATCAGTTTACCAAAAACTATTGCATAGTATATGTACCAGCATATTTAATTTTTGCCTGTTTAGCCAAAGTTTCTTAATATTTGGAAAAGTAGCTTCTGGTATAGGGAGGTTTTTCAGACAGTTATTTCTGTGGTGTCGTTGGTGCAACATTGGTATCTCAACTGTTTCGGTTAGGCTACCTGCAGAGGAGAACAGTACTTGACTTTTTTGAAAGTGAATCCTGAAGATTTCCCCTGTAATACAGGAAACGTGGTCTACAAAATAAAATACACAGTCTTAAGAAGACTCATAAGCAAATATTCTCAAAAGAGGTTATGGCAACAATTTACTTGGAAGTTTGTAGTATTAAATTTTATGTCAGATGAATTTTGTAGTTCATAAATACTTAGTTGCTGTTGGGAGCCAGTCCAATGATGACAGACTTCACGAGGAATTGGGTTTTGTCATTAATGTGTGTAACGGTATTAATATTTCTAGAGCTAAAACTTAAAAAAATCTACAAACACACAAATAGTTTTGAGACCTTATTAGCAGCAGTTTTAAAATCATATTTAATGTAATGTGCATTCTTGTGCTACTTTATTGTAGGAGAACTGTCCAGCCTGCAGCCAACTTCCCCAAAACATAGAGATTTCCCCATCAGCTAAATTGCAGGAGATCTTGGATTACTTGACAAATAATGCTTCACTGTAAGTGTGCAACTATTCTGACTTAGTTGGTAATTTTTGCTAGTTCAATGTTTCAAAAAGGTAATTTCTAAATGTGTTTTTACCTGACTGTCTGTTTTTTTTAAAAAATGTTTTGTATGTAGGCAAATGAAATCTCCTGCAATCACAGCAACTATGTATGGGGGAAATAAAACACTTTATTTACAGGTAATCTCAACATACATAATTGTCTTTAATCTTAATTTATTTAAATTTATTTTCCTGAATTGAAAGGAAATGTTTTGGCTTTTTTTTTTTCTTTTTTTTTTTTTTCAGACGGTAGCTTCAATTGAAGAACGAACAAGGCCAAATCTTTCCAAGACACTAAAAGGTATCCTGCAGTTGTCACCTGTAGAGATGTTCAAGATACTGCTCTAAACAAAGTCCATCAGTTTCATCTCTCTGTATGGCATGTTTAGTTTTATTTTGTGCTAGGCAATAGAATGTGCTTCATTATCTCCTTTTACGTGCAATATACCTTTCTCAGGTTGCTCAGGGATGAGCTTTGAATTGCTTAAATGTGAAGCATGGACAGATGCAGAGAAAAACATTGCAACAAAGCACGCTGATAACTGATGTAAATTAAACATATTTCCAATAGTGCTTTATATATTTCTTGATAAGGTCTGTTAGTTTCCTGAATTAGATGAATATTAGTTTAGCTAGTGAGCTGTTTGCAGCTTTATTTCATCGTGTTTGTGGGAATGGCATTGATAACTTTATTTAGAAAAAGACAAACCACATGGGCTTGCTATACTTAAGCTTTTCTTTCTGTTTCAGAATTGGGGCTTGTGGATGGCCAGGAACTTGCAGTTGCTGATGTTACTACACCACAGACTATGTTGTTCAAGCTTCACTTTACCACTTAATTTATTCAAAAGTAAACTGCATGTACAGCAGGAGAAATCTGTACCCACCTTGTAAAACAAATGTACTCTGTGGGTCTTAAAGCAACCTGAAATGTTCACGTTAGTACTAGCATTGTTGAAGGTTAGGTAATACAAATGAATCACCATATTTCAGAATTGTACGTAGAAGCCAATATTTGGTGGATTATATTTGTATAAATGCTTATTAATGTACAGAACTCTGATGTATAGGAATACACTTTTTTCCAGTTTTTGTTGTCAAAATGTTAATGCTAATACACTTTCAGACACATGGAAACTTTAAGGTGGCCAAAAGTTTTGTTTTCAACATGTGTGCACATACATATGCAAAGAGAACACCCTTTAAAGGGAATCACAGCGATCGGGTTTTAAATTGCAGCACTCCTATACACTTGCTGAGTCACCTTAAAACCAAAAGAGGGAAGTAGATTAAAATGAGCATTTTCCTCTTCTTTGATATTGATTTGATCAATTTTATGAAAGGTTATTAAGTATGGGAGAGGTTACTTTGTTTACAAGCAAACACGAAAGGACAAAATCAACAGCTGTGCATGAAAACACGGACGTGTCCGCTCGCAGTCCCCTGGCAGCCGCCGTGCACAGTGTTGCAGGATTATGTTCAAGTATCAGTGGTGCTGTTAAGGTATTTATTAATAAAAAAACATAAAGACACCTTTATTTGTGGCTTATCAGTGGACATCGTTTGTAACCTCAATTTAAAAAAATCTAGGGCATCCTTTGGCTGCTTTAGTCAGAGACCTTTCTGCAAGCAGTGCCAGACGCCTCGCTGTGAATGCTCTGGTTTTACTTGGTGCGTGTCAGCTGTGTTTGAATTTTCCGTCTTTTAAACCATGAACTGTGTTTAAAACTTGCATTTGAACTCGATAGTAAGGGGGGGGACGACACGGTCTATGTAATTTTTAAGCAGGTAATTTTTAACAACCGGACGTTTGGAAGTGTTGGAAGGCCCCATGCAAGCTGTGGGACTTAAAGCAGCCGAAGGAAGCACTGCGAAGCGGGACTACAGCTGTCTTTTTAGCATCTCATCTGAATGACAGCAGGGAGACAACCAGGGCCAGCCCTCCGCCATGACAGGTACCGAGGCGGAAGTGGAGGCGGGTCACATCCTCCCTCCGCCATGACAGGTACCGAGGCGGAAGTGGAGGCGTGTCAC